ATATACAGGGTCCTGCAACAGTGGCGCGGTGTTCCATATCTCTATATAGGAAGCAGATAGGAATCTAATTTTCTATAATATTACCTTATTGCTCGAGCTCGACAAAATAAAAATATTGGCGGTCACACAGGGTGTTCGATTTTTTCTGGGCGGATCCCAACTGTGTCTTTTTAAATGGCAACCTATATTTTTTATCGCTTTTTTGGTTTCTTCATAGAAAGGATTTCAAATCAATTTATAATATATTAGATAATGGAAGTCTGAAGTGATGAAATATTTTATACTACTGAGTTCATTTATTTTTGAAGTAATTTTATCTTTTGTAATTACTTTTTATTGTACTGGGTGTCATCATGCCACCTTGTTTTGGATGTAAAAAATTACTTCACTTCAGAGTATTCTTTATTTCTTATAGGTGAACCGGCATCATGTTCAATGAACGCAAGAAATTGGTACCACCGGATGGCGGATGGGGGTGGATTGTCGTTATCGGTGTTAGCGTCGTCAACGTAAGTGTTCCATCATTATAATTGTTCAAAACTGTCTTGGCTGTGACACTGGCAATATGAAGAAAGATATATGCGAATATGAATTTCACAATAAATTTTCGAAAGTTTCCTAAAAATTTTTGTTATGTATATGCTATATTGTACGGAAGCGCAGAAGGGCCCAATATTTGTATAATATTATTATTACTTTATACATTATTTTCGGAAAAACTGACTTGAAATGTCAATATTCCGAGTTTACCGTCAAAATTTCAAGATTAGCCGAAATTTCAAAGTGGAAATTTTGAGATTAAAGTCGAAATTTCGAAATTACAGTCAAAATTTGTAGTTCAAACATTCGTAATTTCGAATTTAAATTTATAAGCAAATGATTGCAACAATAATCGTTTTATTAAACTATGCACCTATGCTTTTCATCTTTCCAAAACTATTCAGTTCATTTTAAAACTTCTTGAAAATATATTCTGTAGCCAAAAACCGCGAGACACCTCTAATTTCATATTAAGGAAGCTAGGACCTCTAGCTAGAGCTACTACTTCATATTTGTTTCAAATAGAAAAAGAGGTTTGATCGTATACACTATACGACCTTGGTTGCCTTTTGCATATCTATGAATACACTATCGAGGAATTATTTTCTGATGAAACATCAAGTAGAACTTTACTGTGAGATTTTCTCTGAATAATCTACAAAATCGCAACACGTGTATCACTATACAATAGTTTCCTCAGTATCACCCAATTATATCACATATCAATTAGATTTCCTGTGAGGTTGTCATTTTTTTCTAGCATTACTTTCATCATACAGAAATTCTAGATGAAAAAAAAATGTTCTCGGAAAAACAAACATTAACTACAAAAACAGATATTGTGCATACATTTATTTTCTGATTTATCACAGTACGCAGTGGTCATGCATCATTTTCATCACCAATGTGTACTGAAATGTTTATTAACAAAATTGAAACCTAAACGCAAAATTCAACAAAAACTATTAATATTAATAGAGAAGAAACAGGCGAAAATGTTGGTTTACCGCGAGTAGGTATAGTAAAATGTGTCAGTAAAAAAATATTTTCTGAGTACAATAACAACAATTTAAAAATTGGATAGTCACAAAACCAAGTAGAAGACAAACTATATATTTCACAGAGACAAAGCCAACCGAAATGATAGAAATATCATAGTTGAAAACATACCCCGGAGTTATGAAATTTGGCTGAAATTCTCAAAGATTAAGCCCCTTCATAAAAATAGCGAATATCGTCCAATTTCACTGATATTAAGCATAGTCAAAATATTTGAAAGAATAGTTAAAAAAAGATCGATCTGATTTATCAGTAAATGTTCAAAAATTTTTCATTTTATGTCCGTATCACGACTATTGTCCTATTTCGCTGATATTGCATTGTTAAAATATTTGAAGAAATAATACAAAAAGATCAATCTGATTTATCAGTAAATGTTCAAAATTTTTTAATTTCATGCCAATATCATGAGAGTGCAAATCAAATAAATGCTTCTAACACAAAATATCTTCTGAAGTGCGATGATCATTCGTTAGGGATATTGCCAATATAGGGTGAGACGAAAACCTCTGTTTTGTACAGATTAGACAAGCTTTAAAATGTTCTAGACGATACATTTTACAAACAATGGGTGGAATTCAGCCAGATTGTTGTTTTACGGATTAGAAGCCAAGAAGAATTTCTTCGATTGTGTTTGGAAAGAATTCAATTTCATTTACGTTAGGTTGAGAGTTCACCTCGATGGTGGTTCATGCAGTTTTAAACGAGAGGGAAACGTTTAAACAAAAATATTTTTCTTGGAAAGCAAGATCTGTTTTGTGCATCTATAAATCACTTTTTTAAAAGATTGGAACCAACTATGACAGTCGTCCCGTCGCGACAGTTTTGGTCAATTTTGCTAAACTAGTTTGTTCTATTCTACTCTTTTCACTGCCAGGTGTGAAAGTGTTTATGAGGATCAAAATGGTTTAGGAAGTATTTCAGCTTATAGGATCAGGTCATTTAAGCAGGAAAACAAATGTCAACGATTCCAATGTCAACTTTTTCACGTTTGAAAAGGAGATGAATAATATTTGGGTGTGAAATCGATCGTTATACTATTATTATTTCATGTTTTTATTAACATTTCAGCTCTGCACAAGATCGATCGAGCAATCGTTTGGTCTGCTTTTCGGAGATCTTCTCCGGGAGCTTAATGTGGAGACCACAGGAGCAGCCATCATCATGAGTACCCTGGACGCTCTCATCAATTTTTCTGGACTGCTGGTGGGGCCGTTGATTCGTGCCTTCTCTTATCGTAAAGTCTCTCTATTTGGAACAGCTCTCTGCAGTCTGGGGTTAATACTCACTTTTCCCGCCAAAAGTATGCCACATATACTTGCAACATACAGTATTATTAATGGTAAGTATTTGATTCCGATTTATACCTATATTAGGGAATTATTGGGATTTGGTTTATCAAAAATGATAACTTTTCGCTTACCAGAACCAAGTTAGCATCTTCCAAAGATGATGAAACCAAAGCCCAAAGACAAATCATTCCTGATCTAACACGAGGCAGCTTCTGTTTCGACCGGCCATAGTTGAACCACCTGGACTCAACTGAAGACAAACGTGAGTAAGATGAGGCGATGATACTTTTCCTTAAGAATACGCTATCTATGGGATCGACAGAAGACTAAAAAATATCTAGCACCTCCGATTAGACCTATGACCGGTCGAAACAGCACTGTCTGGTGTTGCATCACCACAACACTGAGAAAAATAATTTGTCGTTGATGTAGGATTTCCCGGCCGAGGTTCTCAGTGTGAATATACTTCGGCTTTGAAGGCCCTGGATTTTTGGAATTTCTTCCTGGCGTTTCGCTGGCGCGAGTGGCTAGCTTCTTCGGAGGTTTATACATCTTGCGTTAATATATCCAATGACTGGATATTATGGCTACGTAACGCGTTTTTATGTTGACTCCTCAGGTAGTTTGGTGTGGTTATGCCCGTACCTAGCTTAGATAAATTTCGTAAAGCATGTTTCTGTTGATTCAGGTAGTCTGGATTTGGTTAGGTTAGGTCAATAACATCTGATGACCTTTTTCTACCTGCCGTCACAATGTTTGTTATTCTTGCTATTCGATTGAGGTTCACAACTTCTTCTTTTCTGTTGAAAGTATCCGTATGTTTGTGGATTTCTATTGCCTCCCTTAACAATCCACGGCCTTCAAACCCGAAGAAAATCACACTGAGAACCAAATTATCCTCCTTGAGTCATCTTTTTCGTATGTGGCATCATCAGTGAGACTTCTGATTCATAGTCACTTAGTATTAGTTCGAAATTAGCCAAGTCCCTCATAAATTGCTCCAAAGTTTCATAAGCTAACATGAAACNTTCGTATGTGGCATCATCAGTGAGACTTCTGATTCATAGTCACTTAGTATTAGTTCGAAATTAGCCAAGTCCCTCATAAATTGCTCCAAAGTTTCATAAGCTTACATGAAACTTGCAAAAGAGAAGTCGATACATCAGGAAAAAACATGGCAAACACATTTGGATATTTGGATACTTAGACAGTAGGATATTTGTTTTAGCTCTGGTTTGCTAATATTCTCGCGGAAATTAAATAATTCATGTCAAAATTTGAAACAGCAATCATGATGAAAATGAAAACTGTGGTTTCAAAACTAGATAATAAGTGAAGCTCCGACATTATTAACAATGAATTATGCTGTGAGTTATAGGACATGTCATACTGCACTTTATTAATACTTCGCTACTTACAGTAGCGAACTTGAAATCAGCACAGCTGTTCCACTACGTAAAATAAATAATAACCGAAGCTAGCAATTTTCGTCTCATGAATACCCCATCGTCATTTAAAAAGTCATAGAAACGCCTGTGAACGTGAACCGTTATATGAATATATACAGAATAATTCCCTTTTAATGGAATATCAATCAGGGTTTAGATCTAATCACTTCAAATAAATTTATCGAAGTAAAAGTAGCGATTGATGTAACATTTCACAATTCGATTAATGTGCTAGCCTACTATTTTTACTTGCTACAAAGTTCATATCTTCATTGTAGAAGTTACAGAATAGGGGAATGCTAATGCTTTTGAAGTGTAACAGATACATCCCATTAGGATGATATTTAACTCTTCTTCATGATTTCCATACTTAAAACGCTGTCTGAGTTAGCACCTCCTTACTTCAACCTGTTCATTTTTCCTGAACATTGTAAAATTGGGTTCCTTTTTTTTTGGACTCTGTGAAGTACTAACTTCACATCAAATTTTTTTTCTTGGATTAGTAGGCTATGTCCGAAAGAAAACATGAATTCGGCCTTTTGCACGAAGAAAAGGTCTTAAGTAGATTTTTCTTAGAATTTTGAGAGTTCGCAGCTTTTGTTTTTTCTTTTCTAGGAGGTTACGAAGTTGGAGTTTTGTGGACGTAGTAATCCGTTATTCAATGTCGTGTAAAAACCTCACTTCACGGAGAGAATTCACTCTCTTTACCGGCCACGGTAGACAAAATTATTATTCCGAAATTTCACTATAAATCCGCCAGATCTACGCTCATACGCTCAGATTAACACTTCTTTATTTCCCTAATAAACCATATAAATCGCGCTATTTCTCCAATCTTTAAAACATTCCTTATTATCGCTCAAATAAACGCTCGACCGCGCGTTCTTTCCGCTCTATCCCCTCGCTCCCCTACGCTTAAAGACCTCCGTCCACGACTTTTCTTTTCCCAATGCCTCTCTCCCGGCCACTTTTTCAAGATCCGTTTCCCTGTTCCAAAATCTTCGTCACCTCCCTCGACCAATTCCGGGAGGCTCTCTTTCTCTCGGGGCCAACTTCAATTAGTCGAGATCATGATTAATTAACCCATAACCCCGCCTTTTTTTTAATGGACGCTAAGCTCGGTTTCAAGTCTCAGAATTCCGACATCCCACGAAATTTTTCACTCAGCAAAACTTCGAAAGCCTTTTGTTCAGATTACTGTCGCCACTCTACAAGTCTTTATGACCTAGGCTGTTTATCTTATCCAAGATTTCCGTCCAGCGGTCTAGTTTTTGAAATAATAATATATGACCCACAAGTGTTCTTACATAAACATTTTCTCCTTCTCGCTAGTTAGCCGATAAATTTTAAACTGTTATTTCCTTCATGACTGAAATCGTTTTATTTTTTATTTATTTTGTTCTCAAAGCGATATTTTTTTTTTCGAACGTCGCCGGTGAAATTTGTGGATTTCATGCAAATGATTCTATATTTTAAAATACGCGACCATTCCACAAGAACCAATTACAAGATATGTTCCTCGTTCTTATTATTACCGAATAATGAATTCTTTATTTCATAAAGCAAGAGTGAATTAATGTACTTCTTTTGGAACTTCTGAACGTGAACTGATGGATCCCTTAAAAGCAGGATATCTTTTTATGATTATCTAGTGTTGCTTTGAATTGCTTCAAATTTAAAATAATCATATATTGTCTCTATAATTACTACTATGTGGACTATATATGTAAATTAGGATGCTATTTATTCGAACATTAATTATCATTATTATATGTGGTTTATTCTATTGATATGCATTACGGAAGCATCTCATTAGCCATCTTATGGTGATGTCTGGAGTTATAAGTGTATATTTCCATTATACTTTCAGGTTTAGGTGTTGGGTTAGCATCCTCATCAACATTTGTTGCTTTAAGTAATTACTTTGTCAACCGACGAGGACAAGCAATTGGATTTTCTCTGGCTGGTACTGCTCTTGGAATGATGCTTATGCCACAAGCCATACGGTACTTATTGGAATGGTATAGTTTCAGGGGGGCTATACTAGTACTGGGTGCATTCGCAATGAATGGTATTGCTGGATCATCAGTGCTTCAACCAGCCGAATGGCATTTCATTCCTGAAAAAAAAGATGAAGAGGCAGAGGGTGGATACCATCAGGTACGTCTGAAATTGTTTAGTTTTTAAAAACATTGATATTTGAAAGGTAAAAATGGTCATTTTCTTAGATTGGGAAATGAAGTTTTTTTTTGGTCAAATAATAGAAGATTTCAAATAATAATTGCGACTCTCATATCTAGTCGAACTTTCTAATTCTCTCCTTGTTAAATTTTTGGATGCAACTAAGTTGAAAATCAATGTCAGAAACTTCATAAAGAATATTTGATTAAGGTGGAATCATAATCACAGTCTAAGTTTCATATAAAATTTAATCATATTCTTATCGAAGGGTTGATCTTTTTTTTTCTATGAAATTTCATAATATCGAATCGGCAAACTCGTCCGCCATCTTGAATTCTCAAATCAATAAATGAATATGCTATATTTGACCCCAAAAATCACTACAAAGAAATTTCGCATGGATTCGTACAATGGTTCATGAATAACAAAACTCGTTCTTCATCTTGTCTTTTCTTTTGTTGAAAAGATATATTCTGTCACATCCGAATATAAAAATCTGCCGATCCCATGAATTTTTAAAATCTACTTGAAACATAGTTCATCATTGTCCAAATGATCTGGGTTACTTGAATATTACACAAATGTAAAATTATCATTTGTACAATTTTCTCAGGTGTCCAACATGGTTTTCATCGACTATATTTTTTTGAGCAGTTTATATGAATAGTTGTTATGTTGAGCAGTGTTTAGACGCTTTGGTTGAGATTGTAGTAGGGAGAAATGTCATTAGTGTCAAATACGTCAGCATTGTAAAAACCGAAATTCCTGGATACCAACATCAAAGGGGCCGACGCTAAGTGGGACTACTGTATATAAGTATACTGTGGCACTGAAAGCAGACGGCCATTCATCAGTCGCAGCACAAACAACGGATTAACCGGAAATTTGTTTTATGATTTCTGTCGTTTTCGTTCGTTTGATAAAAAATCTTTCTGTACCTACTTTGATATGGATCCTGGAACACGAAAAGTCTACACAGAAAATAGAAGGTTTTTGACAGAATGGATTGAACAATATTGTTTTACGCTGCCTGATAAGCCTCAAGCGGTTCCAGTGTGTCTTATATGCAATAAAACTGTCGCAATTGTTAAAAGTGGAAATTTGAAGCGACACTACGAATCAATTCATCAGCATTTCCACAAAAACTTTTGTCTTGGCAGTTAGGCTCGCAAAGAAAACAATCAGACATATCTCGGTTCTTACGAAAAGAGTACAAAATAACTAGTTCATTGCATGAGCAACCAAGAAAAATCCACAGAATCAGAGTTACGTGTGTGCTGGACGCTTAATAAACACCAGAAACCATTTTCAGATTATGAGATAGTGAAGGAATGTATGTTGGCAGTGGTTACGTCACTTTTTGAAGAAAAAAAAAGATGTCTCTGCAATTCAAAGTATTCCATTGTCAGCGAGCAGTAATGAAGAACTGAAACTTTAGCTGCGAACATTAAAAACACTCTTCTTGAACTTCTGCAAAAGGCACCTTGCTACGCCATAGCACTTGAATCATGTGACATTGTTGATGATGAACAAATGCCAATTTTCGTAAGATTTTTCGACATTGAGTGTCAGATTTTTAGGGAAGAGTTGCTATATATTGCCGTTGAAAGGTAACACTCGAGGAGAAGACTTATTCAAACCCGTTGATAATTTTATTACGGAATATAATATCAGTTTTGATAAAATGGTTTCGCTTTCAACTGACGGGGCCCCAGCAATGATTGGCAAAGAAAAAGGTGTAGTAAAGAGAATCAGAAAAATTCAGGTTTTATATCGTATCAGTGTCTCTCACCAGGCAGCCCTTCTCTTCGTAGAATTTTAAAGAAACTAGATTTCAAATAGAGAATGACTGAAAATAATAGAAAAATGTTAGTAGAGAAAATGGACATTAGAACATTGAGGATCAAGTATTTCCAAAAAATCTATTATTTTCGTAGCCAACAACGACCAATTGTGTTTCTTGATGAAACATACCTTCATAGTGTACATACATCTTCCAAGAACTGGACGGATGAATCAACCAAAGGATTATTCAAAAACATTTCGAAGGGACCACGACTTATTATTGTCCATGCAGGAGGGACATTGGCTTTATACCTAATTGTCTTATATTTGAATCAGGCACAACATCAGCGGATTATCATTTAGAAATTAGTTCTGAAAATTATGGTTTATGGTAACAAGAAAAGTTGATCCTAAATTTACCTGTGAATGCGGTATTCCAGCCCCCAACACAAATTCTAGCAAGGCTGACATGGTGAAGTGGCTGCACAAAAAAAGCATTATGATCACTCCTAACATGTTCAAACCCGAATCAAACGAGTTGATCAAGGTAAATAAAAAGCATCAAATTAGATACAAATTATATGAGGTTCTGCTTGAACACGGACATAACGTTGTGCGGCTTCCACCCTACTGTCAAAAACAACGTGCCCCAAAAGAATATAACTTTCAAGTTGGAAGATGTGAGGAAACTGGCCGACAAGGGGTTTATTGTAATTCAATAGTAACTTAGTTGGGACAGTCTATACTTGCGCGATCGCTCGCCATCTCATTTGGCGCTTGCTCTATTTGAGTTAGGAACCTCAACATACATATATAACTTTACACAAAGATTTGTGAGTCATCTTTATATTTGCTGAATTAACGTTATATTATCGAGGAAGAAACTACAACAAGCAATATTGTGACTGTAGAATTTAAAGTGGTAGTAATTGTTTGCGTATTTTATCTTGAATTTCGTAAAAATGTACTTTATTTTCAATTTTTTTATAATCAATTTCGTCTTTATTTCGATCAGTTTTTTTAGATACCTTTGTAAACAACTCACCTTGATCTACTCATTCATTTATTTATTATATTATATAAACGGTAACTCGGTAACCAAATTCAGAATGAATACACAAAACTTGAAGCTATACAATGATCATTATGAAATATACGCAATCATCATAAACATGAAATAAAATATATAAAGTTGAATATAACTTCGTTAAATTAAGGAAAATATTGTTTTTCAGAATTATGGACATGCTTTAATTTTTTTCAAATTTCAGATATTCCCCGACGAAACATAACTCTTTTTTATATTTACAAATTGTTTTGGAAACTACAAAGTTTTTGTTCCTTTCTCGGTGAATCGTTTTTAATGAAAAATAACATTCACGTCTTGAAATTTTGGACGGTAATTATGGAACACAATCATTTGTCATATTACTCTTTCTTTTCTAATGCTGCAGCAGAAGATACTGTTTTTCTTTGCGTCCACAGAGGTAACCATCAGAAACAATTACAAAGCATGGATAAGCATATACATTAGTATTTTATATTATCATCATCAACCATAAAATCACAAATTTTTGAAACAACTGATTCCATAATATGGTATCAGATATGTAGAAGTTAACTTGTAAATCGGACATCTGGGTTAATCTTATCCAAGAAAATACTTGCCAGAAAAGAATTTTATGAATATATTAATTTTTAGATTGCAGACCATTAATATAAAATTTCAAATGCATATATCTTCAATTTAGAAATCATTTAATTTAGTTATGAAATGTTAGTCGGAAGAGTCAAAAGTGTGAATTTAAAAAAGATAAATATTGTTATGCCCTCAAAGAAGTTACACAATTACTATTAATTCTTCTGCCAAAGACAAACTGCAGACAACCAGTTATTTTCTTCAAGATTTCCCTATTTGTAATACAAAAAACAGCCAAGACCGGCACTAATGAGGCCCAAACCCGATGGGTATTCTCGGCCCAAACATTGACACAGCTCTTTGTCGGTTGGCAATTTGAATCATTCTGTTGCGAAGACCAAGACACTTCCATCATAAAAACCTACCTCCAGTATATTTCTTGTGAGGAAGTATCAATTTAAGATAAGTTTTTTTTTGGAGTATTATTATCATTCAATTTATCTATAATGTTTAACATTAGTATGTTTAGTTTAGAATATGTTTTGCAAGCTCTCTCACTTTGTTAACGGTTTCAGCATGAAGTTTTCATTTTGATAATTTTTCACTTCATACTTCTTAGGTTATGTGAATAAGTAATAAGAAACGTATACCCTTTTTTGAAAATATGTTACTGACTTATTTAAATATTCGATGAACAGTAGATGAAGTTACAGCTTGCAGCTTGTCAAATTGAGGAAGAGACTTGAGAATTCTCTCTCTCTCTCTCTCTCTCTCGCTCTCATAGTCTTCTAACGAACGTACTTCTACTGGGCGGTACCATAACGGAATTCAGAAAGTTCTTCCTACATTTGACAAGCTGTACGAATATTTTATCCACCTAGCCTGATGCCATTTTTTGCACGAAAATCAATTTTTCTTCAAATTATATTTAGTGTTTAGATTGTAGTGTCGATTTCAATTTTTCAAAAATCACTAAATTATCGTCATTTCTCCTCCATTTGAAATTATTCACCAATATAAACTCACTTTGCATGTATTTAATGCATTATACATTCTTTGTTCTATTGTATTTATGATTTTGGACAAATGTAAGTCCTAGCACCAGGCAAGAGTGTCCATATAGTTTTCAACGTGAGGATAAATCGAAATAAGTATGTAATAGTACATATATGGACTCCCTTGAACCAGACCGAAATATAAACTTCAGTAAAATTAGGAAATGTTCCTAATTTTCAAGGGCAGATTTATGGGGGGTAATCCCTCCCGACATCAACATGCAATACTAAAATTAAAGGTAGAACTGAAATATCTGGCGTAAAATAAATTCTAAACAAGCAGTTTTTCCAAACATCAGAACTGGAACACTCTTCTCTAATCCCTGCTATTAAAATGGATGCAACGACGATGCACTTCGCACTGAATCTTAGTACGCATCTGCAATTTGTAGCAGTTTATGGTCGTTTGACCAATAATGTTGCAGATTCCAGCAAATCTTGAGGTGATCATGCCCTGATCATTGTTTATGTGCGCTGAATCTCATATTGAAATATATTTCAATTGCTAAAATATGTAAGAATAGTAACTCCTCGTTGTTTTCAATTTCATATGTAAATTGTAACGTAATAATTACTGCAGATTTACCAGGCTAGTGCAGTAGAGATTGGAGTGGTGTTCTTTGGACTGACTTGCCAGTTTCAGATTGTTCTGTAGAAACAGTTGTTGAACTGGAAGCAATTCTGCTTGTTGCAGGTTTTGTTCAGTTTTATTTATGTAGTCGTCGATTAATTCTCCATCGAGACTATTGACCTTCAGAAGACCCCTCAAATATTCAACTGTTTTTGGTATAAGGGCACTTGGAAGCAAGGAGGATAGGTACAACAAAATTCAAATTTCACCATTTCGCCAATAAACCTTAATTTCATCTAATTCATGTAATTAACAAAACTTGAAATTATTTGTGACATTGAGAAAGTTGCAAATTGTTTGGTTAGCCATTTAGCAATTTTAAAAGTGAGGAAACTTATGGCGGAGATAATTGGTCGCACCGACTTGCCAGATTTGTGAATTTTTGGTAGACTATATATAGTGTATATTTTAGGAATTGTAGAATCATAAATCATCTTCATCTTTAAAGCTATCAAGTTTCGTCACTTCTTGAATGTGTTTTTCATTTCTGAAACCATCTTAGGCAATGGATTCCTTTATAATTTATTATGGAGACAATTCTCAATTAAATTATCAATACTCCCGTGGTAATCTTACTTGTCCAATATAAATCGGTATATAACATTAGATTTTTGCGGGAATTTTCACAATAAAGTCACCCGCGAATGTCAACTCTAAATCATTGATGTGTTTCTGGGAGTGAAAGTGTACCCTGTTAGATATAGAAACCAGTTTTAGAGTCATGATTCATTTCATCTCCTAAAGACGCCAACGCGCGTCGAGAAGAGTGTTGCAGTTCTGGTGTTTGGGAACAGTGTTTGTTTTGAACATTCAATACATTTCAAATGATTATTGTAATATAAACACGCACTTACCTGCTTATATAAATTATTCCCTCCCCAAAATTCAGAAACTACCCTCATCATAAATTTAGATCTAAATTCGCCATAGGGCGGAGTCAAATCATTTTGTTTCAAATGAGTTATTTTGTAATACTTTATATTTTGGTCAAAATTTTTCGTTCACATTCATTCCTCATTCCACACCATTTCTTGATGAAAAATTACTTACTTCACATTTAACATATTTCTTAGGAAATGGAGACTATAAAAGAAACTGAGGATGAAGATGTTGAGCTGCCTGAGGGACAAACCTTACTGACAAAAATCAGTTCCGAGACGGCTATCAAAAATTTGGATGATCTTAGTAAAACAAGTGGACTCACTAGAAAAACGACTTTTCCCAGAAACTTCTCTACCTTGAGTTTCGCAGGAGGACAGAAAAAACGAAAAGTTTCAACGGAATCTATGGTATCTAGCTATTCTAGGCTCGACTTCACTGGTTCTAGCATTCAGCTGCAGTTTGATGTAAGTTTTTGCAATATGATTCGAATCAAAACAATCATTCCTAAAATGGTGTTTTCTTATTTCACAAAATGGAATGCAACTTTCTCGTCCCCATTAATGACCTCTCATTGTAGACAAAAGACTCCGACGAACCTATACAAATGTCAAAGCACATGCGTAGAAACATGAGTTATCCTGGTGTTCAGTCTCACCCTATAAAAAGCCTTCCTATCACCCAACCAACAGAAAAAAAGAAACCGAAGAAAACGATTTGGCAAAAATTTGTGGAGTTTATGGACCTAGATCTCTTAAAGTGTCCAATATATCTCAATTTAGTTCTTGGGCTGTCCCTAGTGTACGTTGCTGAACAGAATTTCAAAACGGTCCTTCCGTTCTTCTTCCAGAGCATAGGGTATGACAAGAAAGATATCGCTCTATTTCTCTCAGTGCAGGCCTTTACTGATATCTTGGCCAGATTGATTCTACCTCCTATTTGTGATCGAGTAAATGTTGCCAAGAGGACGCTTTTCATGTTTGGAATATTTTCTTTGGCTATATGCAGATCCGGTAAGTCTTTATTGATTTAAGAGTATTTCTGTTTAAATCCGTGAATCGGAGAGTGAAAACATTTTCTTTCCTTGGTGGTTTCAGTTCAACCTAATTTTGTCAACCTCAAACATAATGTATACTGTAAAATGGATTAATACCTCGCGCCAAAGTCTGAACTTGATCTTAGTCACTGCACTACTCAGTATTGCCTACAGTGATTCTAAACCTGTGCTGACAACATAATGAATACCTACATAAAAAATGACTACAGGATAATAATATATTGTATCTTTAATTATTATCTGTAAACTATGTAAATTAGAATGTCAGTTTGAATAAAGATTACTATTATTAGATTTGTTACTAGATTTTTATAGAGTGAATCAAATTCCTAATATCTCAAGAAATACTCAAACGAGGTCATTACGAGTTTGAACAGTATACATATTAAGGGTGGAGTGGGTTACTACTATTAGAAGAATGATATGGAAATCAAAATAAACTTGCAGACTGTAACGAGGATACGAATTTAATAATAAAATAAATATTTCAAAATGAACTCGAAATATTTGCCCCTCCCAACGTATCTACAAAGAAGGATATGGCAAATGCCTGCCGAATAACAACTACTTCCTTGGATAATCCCACAATGGACATTGAATTGTTTCAAGTAGACATTCGTGCAAGTTACCCGTCACAGAGGAATTTCTTGCATATACTTCGTGTTCGTTCAGACGTAAAACCTTTTTGAAGTCACCAGTTTCGGGGTATTATCCCCGAATGATCCAGATCCAGTTAAGACAACAATGTGTCCGGAACTCGAAAATTTCATCGTAGGTAGTCTGCATATACAAAACTTTCGTCCGAGACTCTAGTCGTCTCTTTCAAAATAGTTGTTCCAATTGTTGAAGTATTTGGTGGAATGATGCCTTCCCTACCCTCAAATCTCAAGGCAGAAACCTTGGCCGGAAAATGCAGAAGGCTATCATCCCAGGCATATTGCGTCTGTTTAGGGCACATGATTCTCTGATCCATTGATCACTTACCTTATAGTATGGGGAGAAGTCATTGGCTGATGATGCCAGCGCGCTCTCCGAATGTGTCGGAGCATCGGGTCAGGGCCCGACCTTTTCGAAAAAATGTAATAATAATAATATTTATTCCTTTTATTGAAAAGTATGAAATTATTCGAAAATATCTTTATTCAATAACAGGGAAAACGTCAATGGTCATATAACTAGAATATGATATAACATATTATACAGGGTGTCCCTGGACTTCCTCTTTTCCTCTCGGGAATGTATAGATGGGGTCAAAATATCACCAGTACTTCATATAACTTTTTTTCCTAAAATCCTTCGTTACCAAGTAACGGGCCCTCGAAGTTACAAAATGAAAAATGTTTTTCTTTGATAACTTTTCATGTGAACATTCAAAATCATCCAAATTTTGGTAATTGACTAAA